CCCCAAAACCCCAAAACCCCAAAACCCCGATTAGAAATACCTTAGAAAAGTGATGCATTTGAATTAAACATCTAACAAATAAATTATATATGGGAAATTTTATAATGCAAAAAAGAACAACAAAAAATTCTAAGAAAGAAGATAATTAGATATCAGATTAGTCGTAGATGTCTGAGATTATGATGATTAGACATGGATAGAGGGCTGATAGGCATCCTGAATACAAAGTTCACATCCAGGTTTGGGTTGATGCTCCACTTACACCTCTTGGCTTATAATAAGCTAAAGAGACAGGCTAATTTTTGAAAGAATACATTAATGCAAATAACTTCGAGGAGGTTATTTTGGAATCTAGTCCTTGGTTGAGAGTTATGATGACAGCAGCATAAATAGCAAAGGAACTCGGGATGAATAAATTTAACGTAAGCTACAATTACCGAGAGTTAATGACACCTTAATGTTTTGATTACGAAGACCCAATGCCTCAGTTGCTGTTTGTCAATAAGACTATGGATTATATATCTTAAAAATATTTAGAGGGGATTCAATATGTAGAAACAGATGATTCAAAAGTAATGGATAAGAGCTGCATGTATCCTGAGACAGAGGATGAAGCTTTTCATAGAATTAAGGTTTTGTAGAAATAACTTGCTAAACATCATAAGAAATCTGATAAAAAAGTATTGCATTTGATTTTAACTCATTACCATCCAGTTTATATTCTGAGTAAGATAAATAGAGGAAGAAACAATAATTTCTCATATTGCTGCAAATCAAGTATAAAAATTTAGGATGGTGTGGTTAAGAGGCTTAACTTTGACATTGATGATTCACATGTCAAATCTAACGACTATTACAGGCAATATACGCCTAAAATTATGAATGCTGAAAATAATGAGCAGCAAATGGACCTTTCTTGATATTTTAATTTATCCTAATTTAATTACTCTAAGCTTATAAGTATAACTATTAATTATAAGTAAATTATGCAATCATAAAATAAATAGGAAATCACTTAAGAATATCAACCATGCTAAATAATTATGATAAGGCATGGAGAAAGAGCTGATAAGCATCCAGAACGCAATGTAGAAATTGAAGAAATTGTTGATGCTCCATTGACTCCAATTGGAATATAGCAAGCATATGAGACTGGCTTATTTATGAAATAATATATAAACGAGCATCAATTTGAAGAAGTTATTCTTGAGTCAAGTCCTTTTCTTAGAGTAATGATGACTGCTTCTTAAATAGCTAAACAATTAGATAAGGATAGAATCAATGTTAACTATGACTTCAGAGAGTGGTGTGATGGAGAATACTATTCTAATGAAAATCCTTTGCCTAAACTTTTAATAAGAAGAAAAGATCATGCTGATTTAGAGCAGCAATTTCTTGAAGGTGTTAAAATTGATGAAGTTATAAGTCCAGATCAATTAAATCCTGATCAATTGTTTCCTGAGCCAGATACCCTTGTAGAAAAAAGAGTAAGAGATCTCACTGAGAAACTAACTTTAAAATATGCTGAATCATAGAAGAAGGTGTGCCACATTATAGTTACTCACGGTCATTTAGTCAAACTTATGGCCTTAGCTAATGGAGGTCAAGAACAAAGATATATTTATTGCTCGAAAACTGCTCTTGAAGTACATAATGGAAAAATTAAAAGTCTTTTATTTGATAGTGATGATAGTCATGTTATTACAAAGTATTGATCAGACATTGATTATTTTGAGGTATTTTCTTTTAATTTTTTAATGGATTAAAATTTCACTCTAATTTAGGACGTTTGGGGTTTTGGGGTTTTGGGG